GGATTGATCTTGTTTTGGACCTTGTCTCTGGATGACGTACCATCTTCAATCGAATGATCGATTGCCCCAGAATAATATGCCTAGAAGATTCTTTCAGGAGAACAACTGAATGCTTTTTCAAGTGAAAACTGCATCATCAAGCATACTACGCCACAAAAAACTAATACAGTCTGTCTTCTATCAAAACAAAAGAGACATCCACCTGGTGAAACAGAGTTTGGAAGAGACTCCAAACAGGTGTTGGGCTTTTATAACCCCTTTGTAGTCTTCAATATCAAAACCGGGTACCCCGGAATAGGAGATGTATCTAGCATACATATCGTAATCAGAAGAGACGTTTGTGGGAGGAAGTTCTCAAAGATCATAGCTGGGAAGAACTGGGAATAATAGGATGTAATGCATTGGGCTCGCATTAGCATGCTCATCAGGGTTCTTGTGTCTTGGCTTAAAAGCTTTCCCCATGAATTCACTTGGGGAATAAAGACTGGCTCTTGTTGAAAAAATTAGGGAATGCAAAGTTATGGAGGATGCCCCTGATTAAAAGGTATGATGCCCCGGCATGGTAACCATATCTGACGTTGGTCAAAAAAAGAACGAAGCACTGATATAAGATCACATAGTAAATGGGAACCATCTCCTGATAAGATGTTCTAAGAACTCAGGATTGCGTAGCACTCCATGGTTGGAAGCAATTCCCAAAAGATGAGGAGAAGAGAGAACCTTTACTGTGATAGTAGGTGCAATAATGTTGACATCGTCATCAAAGCTTTCATGACCTATCTCATCTGAGTTTTCAATCAAATATCTTCTTGCTTGAAGAGACTTTTGACTACGGGCCAAAGCTTGCATGTATACCACAGGGAGTTATTCCCTAACCGATCCCCGAACATATGGAGCAAGAAATCAAGCTGAACCTCTGAGGAGAACCATGTCTGAAAAAGAATCCCCAATCTTTGAGTACCTTTATGGATGCATGAATATACATGGGATACATGAACGGATGCCATGTCATGTTCCGTCATTTCCAAGGAACTTACATGCTTTGATTTTGATTTTATGTAAGTACAAGATGGAAAAGTTTGGCACAAGCTTACAAATACGATTCCTTGGAAATCACATGACATGTATGTTAAGCATGTGGTTAGCCATGTTATGTATGCAAAGGCATGAGATCAAATGGGATCAAGGTTCCATTATTTCTGAATATGATTGATGCACTGCTTCTGAACCATATGAATAGTATCAAATCAAAGGTCTGGTATAGCTTCCGCACATATAAGAGCCGAGTACTATGTAGATCTAAGTAGCACGAGATCAAGGCTTCAGGAACATCAGATACTGTTGAGCGTTTCTGAATATGCTGGGAATGCCAAGATCAAAGGCTTGAAGGAACTTCCAAGTAATCAAGTCAGGAGCTCAGAAAATAAATCTGAGAACCAAATAGTCACCAACAGAATATCATATGCATAGGTCATTGACAGAAGTCCAGAACATGATCATTAGAACCAATAGTCGCTGTCTGATCACAGTCTCTATCTGATCATGAGTCACCACCTGAGCACGAGTAACCATTTGAACATAGCACCAACTGTACCTGTAATGACAAATCCCTCCCCACTCACGGGTGAAGACTAGGTCAGGGTAAGACAATGGTAACTCGAAAATCACGGGTCCGCCTGAAAGTACTATGGGCTTACCCACAGACGTGGGTGCCGATAGTAATTCATTTGAACCTCATCCGAGCGTGGTATATGACAAGACTGCACTAATTGGACCACGTCCTATAGCCGTCATGCCCCCACTCTATTCCTAGTGTCCTAGTGCACTCTGGCCTGGGTACTGGGCCTTTTACCTCAATAGTGACATCCCCACCCAACATGGAAAACAGAGTCCAGCATAATAGATAACAAATAGGGAAAGCAATAAAATGCAATGCAAACTTATGCTCAGGCAAACATGTACAAATGAGTAAACTGAAAGCATAAAAATAAACACCCAAAGAAAAGAAAGCAAGAGCTAGGAGCGACTCCGAGATGGACCAGCATTTGGTCGACCTATCCCCAGTGAAGTCGCCAGCTAAAACAACCGGCTAAAAATCATCAAAACAATGAAGTCGCCATCGAACGTCTTTTATCCCACATGTAGGGAAAGGTAAACATCGAGAAAACCCGAGAAGGATGAAATCAAGGTCGAACGACCAAGAGATAAAGGTAAGGGAGTTTGTTACGCGAGGGGAAGGTATTAGCACCCCACACGCCCGTAGTATTCTACGGTATCCACTCTTGTTGTCTATCTTATGGGTGTGTTTAATCTATGCTTACTGTCTACTATGCTACTGGAGGGAAAATACATGCAAAAGAAAGGGGAAAATAATGTAGGGAAAATTAAAATTGTGCTCTCTTGGGCCCTACCCCAATGCCTACGTATCCCTTTTAAGGAATCATAGCAGCCGTAGTTCGGCTTACATGTTTTTGTTTATTTGTATTTTTTTACTGAACAGTATTAATTTCGCCTTCTGCCGCAACTCGACCTTTGGAGACTTACGCGTCGGCACAGAAGTGAATTAATATGCTCTTCTGAAAAGTTTGGAAAGAAATGTGCCTGGACGCACAAAAAGGTTTGAACTTGTTTGTTTTTGTAATGAATGATATTAATTTCGCCTTCTGCCGCAACTCGACCTTTGGAGATTTACGCGTCAGCACAGAAGTTAATTAATACGCTCTTTTGAAAAGGGTTTGAAAGAAAGGCCCGAGGGCAAAAAAGATTTTTATGTTTGTTGGTGTTTTTCGCTTGTAGAGAATAACTAGTTAATCTCAAGGGAGAGATTTTAGCCATGTCTCTACTTATTCATGAAATGATTCTTTGAGACTTGAGTCATACCAAAGCTTAGAACAAGAGAATAATAAGGTCGAGAAGAAACCCGCTTATCATCTCTCAAACTTAGCCAAGACATGGTTCTTGTCAGTAAATTTTTATGCATTATTTTTTTAAATTTGAAAAAAAAGAGTTTTAGTTTTAGATGCGTATGCAACAGGGGGAAAGAAAGTCACATGAAGACTAGCTTACTTCTAAACCTAATTTTATTGTGTATTAGACTTAAAGTTAGAATTTTGAAGGAATTCTACCTAATGTTAGCATGCATATGGTTTGCGATAAAGAAATGCAATAAAGTGCGAAGTGAGGGATAAAATAAGGTTGTGACGATACCAAACGGAGAAGGTCCGTTGCCTCTTCAACGTCCCGCAAGTGGTAAGAAAACTCTACAGAAGTTACTCCGCATGAGTGAGCGAAAATTAATATCCAAGCATTTCCCATTGCGAAAGTTACATCAATATCCAAACAAAATCTTAACTAAGGATGAAAACGAAAATGGTTACTAAACATAAATGCTAATAGAAAATTCTAATTAAAATTTTAAAAAGAAATTCTAGAAAAATTCTATTATATACTATCTCTTTTTTATTTTATTTTTTTTATAGAGAAAAATTCTAACAAACAAACGATAATTAATTCCTAGATCAAAAAAATTAACAAGTTTTTATGGATTTTATGACATGTGCAAAAAAACAATAAAAATGGGCCCAGGACAAGCAATCCGGCCCAAAATCCATCAACAACAATCCAAGCTTATTTTTTGTTTCTTTATTATTTTACTAAAAATAAATAACTAATAAAATAAAGAAAGAAAGAAAAATAAGAAAAAGAAAATTGAAAGGGGATGAAAACATGAGATTAGGTTTCGAGGAGTTGTCTTCTTCATTCGTCAACGGCGGCGCGATACCCTTTCTCTTCTTCGCTGCATGTCAATCCCTGTCGTGCCCTCCAATAATTCTCTCCGTTCTCGCTCAATCTTTCATCTGTCGTTTACTTCTTCACTGTGACACTACCTCACCGTCACGCCTCAGATCTCTGATGACGCCTCTTCATCCACCTCATATCGCTGTAAGCACGACATCGCCACCATCTCCTCATGGTTTTGACTCCATCTTGCTTTCGTTCTTCATCTCAGATCCGCAGTCACCTCCTTCAAAGTTACGCCTCGTTCATGTTTCACCTCCTTCGATCAGAGCAAACCAACAAAAATGCATATAGTATCTTCAGTTTTTGAGGCGACGATATTCGCCAATAAAACCAAAGGTAATGCTACTTCTTTGCATGTAGCGTTTTCAAGAACTTCTTCTTCTACTAGTTACGTTTTCTGTGTTTTACGTGTGTTACAGATTCATGAATCAGTGTTGCAATTGATCTTTGGTTTGCAGAAGGTGAGGTTGAAGAATGACAGAAGTTGGATGAAGAATGAGTCAATGGTGGTTGTGAAAGGAGGAAGATGAAGTTTGATATGAGGGATTCTTGATGATGTAGATGAGTTGCGGTTATGGCGTGAAGGTGAATGGTGATGACGAGTGAATAGGGGAATGTGGAAAATGGTGGTTCAGAAAAATGGTTGAGAGGATGCAGAGGAAGGTGATGCTTGGAGGCTCGGTGAAGATGAAATTCAAAGGGCGAGAGAGAGTTTTCAGAGATTGATTTGGTGATTCTCCAAAGAAATTAAAGAATGAGGTGAAGATGAGAGGAGAAGATAATTTTTTTGGTGATCCTTCAGGGTGTTGAAGAATGATTCATGAAAGAGGTAAATTTTTCTCTAACTTTTTCTGAATTTTCTTGAGAAATTTTCTCTGTGTCCCCTGAATAATGAACCCGATTATGTATATATGATGAGAGAGTTGGAGGGAGCTTTCATAAAATTCTATTTTTTGGTTTTAGAGTTAGTTACATGGTTAGGTTTGTTAGGAGTTAGTTGTCCGTTTGAAAGTCGTTAGAAGTTAGTTAAAAACAGTTAGGAAAAGGTTAGTTATGGATTGGTTGTTTTGGAATTATGAATTTCTGTTTTGGCAGTTTGTTAGGAGTTTGTTAGGATGCAGTTAAGAATAGTTTTCTGTTAGAAAATTTTGGTTAGAATCTTTGTTGTCATTAGCACTTTCATCATTCTTCGTGTTTCTTTAACTCGAGTTTGCATTGTTATTCTGTGCATATTCAGAATTACTCGAGGATTCATCTTTTTTTATCTGAATGTTATCAGGTTGAGACTGAGCTAAATGATTTGACCTTTTAGACCGAGTTTTCCGTGAATGCCCATTTATAGATAAACCAGGATGTTTATGATAGAGTTGCATCCCTAATGCTAGTTTCAAAGGAACTTGTTCACATGGAGATTTGTTTATATTGTTGACACAGAACCACAGGTTAAGGCCTATTTTAGATGTCCAGTCTTTATATTCATCAAGTTCTTCACCACCAAGCTTAGTCTTGTGTTGATTGCTAACGTTTGTATTAGTGTGCAGCTCAGTTTTAAACTTACCCTTGTCAGCAACTGCCGAATAGCTGGATCCATAAATTCAATGTCGCATGTGCCACCAATATTTCCAGCTGAGAGCGTTTGACGTGAATTTCTCAAAAAAAGAAGAATGATCAAGTAAGGAATTCCCAGATAGGGAGTCAAAAGTCTGCTCTGATCTCTCATGGGAAGAAAAACCAGGAGGCGGCATCCTGCTTGGAATTGAAAAACCTGGCGGAGCTGAAACTTGTGCTCTTGAAATAGCAGAAAGCTTATTTGAAGAAGCAGGTGAATGAGCACTGCTTATATTTTCAGCTTCCTCAAAGTTACTTAGAAGGAAAGCCATTTGCAATGCCCAACTTTTCCATATAAAAGTCTCTTTTTGCCAGATTCTGATTGAGTGTGTGGCTCTTGGGCTGTTGCTGGCTAAAAGCATAAGAAGGATGCACATCCAAAGTTTGAATTTCAGATTCTTCCTGTCTTGCAAAAGAGAACCTTGACTGGTTATTATTTTTAACTTTCCAAGAACTAGATTTTTTTTAAAGGACCGGGCTGGCTATCAATATTGTCAGTCAACAGCTTTGCTATATTATGAGGTGATGTAAGGGAGTCATCCCCTGGATCAAAATCAATGGACAGAATATTTGAGATTATATTACTTTCACCCTTGCCAATTGCCACATCACACCCGGTATTAACAGCATCCCCAACCAACCTTCCAATGCTTTGTCTGAATTCTCTTTTTTTTAAACTATGCAGAAATTTGAATTGGATTGGTTTTATTTTGCAGACCCGGTACCGTAGCATAGAGGCATAAATATTGAAGTTTAAACATGGCAGCATTATTGAAGACGATCAAGAGGAGAGAACTTAGAAGACCAAGCTAGCATACTTTTAGGAACCACTTATACAAATATCAATTCTTTTTGTATGATATTTTTGTAGAGATGATGAGTTAATGTAATGACTTGAAGCATTATGGCATATTTTGTAATGACTTTTTTTTTCAAGGCTTCCATAGGCAATTGTGAATGAAACTGAATGATAACACAAAAAAAAAGCCTCATATTTTGAATTGGTTCCTAAGAATTTTTTTACCTACTTTTGGAATTTCCACTTAAAATCTTGTCTAAAAAAAAAAACTCGAAAACCTTGAATGACATTGTATTTTTTTTGTCAACTTGAAATCAATGGTCTTAAACTTGGAATTTTGAATCTTGAGCCAATTGGAAAATGAGTCTTCCACTTGAAATCGAAAGTGATATCATGCCCTGAATAATGTTTGAAATGTTGTATTATTTTGCCTTGGTAGCTTGAATTTCAAGAAATCAACCATGGATGGATATTTCAATTTACACGCCTGATTAATGCACCTCAATCTTAATTGAAACCATAAGTCCAAGTTGACTTGTGAAGAAATCCACATGGACTTTCTCCTGATACTAGTATGAATCACCTCCTGTTACAACATATGCTTGAGAACCTCAACTAATCTTGAGACCATGTCTCATAACCTTTGCATTTACTTATACCTTGCATCACAGGAAATACTTATGACATCTGCACCTTAAGAAACTTGAATGGATACTTCCCTAATCAAATCATCAATTCCCCATGAACCTTTAACTTGTATTACAAATAGCCACTCGAGAGAACAATAATCCCTTGAGGAATCCTTTGAAGATGAATATTGAACTTGAGACATGGGAGGAATAACCACCAAGATAGCCTTGAGGAAGATATCCTCGTAGCTTGATAAGGAAGCGATCCACAATAACCAATCAAAACCCTAAATTCACAATTCAATGTACGAAGAAGAACCAGAAGAACTAGTCTTGTTTGATAAACACCTCGAACCGAAAGAAAACCATAACTTCACGATCAATGGTCCTCTGAACCATGATGCAACAAAACCTGAGTTGGTTAATTGAAGAGTGGATGAATGCCATGTAAAAGTCATTAAGCCTGATCAAATGATAGGAACACTTATATGAAGAGACGTCTTGATTCAAAGACCTTGTATGCTAAGTCACGCCCTTGAGTTCTTGACAAGAAAAACCTGTGACCTGTTGTTTATCAGAACATAATAGCCTTGCTGCTTGAAGGAGAAGAAGTCCAAAAATGAGAATGAACCAGAACCCTAAATCCACAGCTTGCTGCCTGAATAAGAAATCATCCTTTATTGGATATGAGCGCCTTAACCACCATGAAACCCTAGTATCACACAACCACTGAACTTTGAACCTTAGAGCTATATTGAATGAAATGTATGCCATGTTAGTGACCTAATGAAATAGATGCAGATGAATGCAAAAAGTCTGAGCCAAAATAAAAGAAATTAGGAGGGCAAATTTTAGGGTGAAACACAAGGTCCTCACATCCAAATGACCTCAAGTGCTCCCCAATGTCCTAATATGTTCTTAAGTTCATCCATAACAAATTTCAAGCCTTGCAGAGGAAGTTTGGTCATTCAATTGCTCAAGAGGTCCAAAAATCAACTGTGCTAGGGCAAAAGTCAATTGTGTCCCAAATACAATCAAACCTCAAGATTTTTTGTCAACATTCTCATTTTGAAGGTTAATTCTTCATTTGATCAAGGGTTGATCATGATTCATCAAGGATTGCTCAAGATTCCTCAAGATTCAAAAGTTGCTAAATTAGGGTTTTGTAGGAAAAGTCAATTAAACTTTGACCAAGCATACCTTTCTCTTACTTTATGAGAAATGACCCATCCAAATCTCATTTTGAATAGGATGAAATTTCCTACAATCCATCTTCACACCCCAAGATCAAGAAATGCTCTCACAAAAAGTTACAAATTTGGACATTATAGGTCATTTTTTAAAGTCAACAAAAACACCTTTTTTGCCAAATCTTATAACTTGAGCATGGAACATCAAAATGAGATGAGACCAAAAGGGTTGATTATAAGATATCTCAAGGTTTCTAAAAAGTCCAAAAACACTTCCATAAGTTCAAAATTGAAGACGTTATGCATTGTTGAAGTTGGGCATTTTTCCAAATTTGCCAAAAGTCAACTATCCTCAAAACTCCAATTTTTGACAAAAGGGCCCACTTTTTCCACTTTATATAGTCTTGTCATACCACACACGTGTCCCATATTTGATTTCATGGTCATTCATTTATTTTTCTATTTTATTTATTTTTTATTGATTTAATTCATTTATAATCAATATTAAATCAAATAAAATCTAAAAATTGATGAAATGGCATCTTTGTGATTTGTACAACTTTCAAATACCATCATGAACCAAATCAAATTCGTATCAAGCTTGGTTATGCATAAAAAATCAGATTTGGCCTATTTTTGGAAAGCTTATCAATGGTGATCAAATCCAATATTCCATCTTCAATGCACTTGGATTATAGCCCATATTTTGACCTAAATGCATTCTGTTATATTCACACAAGCCACACAAACCTAAAACACGCCCAAAGTTCTGCAGAAACGGCCATACCAAGTTTGTGAAAAACCTTGAAAAAGTGGAGATCGAATTCTTGTTTGGAGGCATTCCCAAAACAAAATCACAACGCAACCCTCTTCCTTGACGTCCAGTGGAGCTATACTAATCAAAATCAAGCCTTGAGACCCTCTGAAACTCACTGTAAGTCTCCACGAATATGCCTCTACACATGAAATCGTAAATCATTCTCCTTGCATCTTTTTGCCAATTTGATTGCACTATCATGCTTGCCATTCAATTTCCATTGATTCTGCAATATTTGATTTTGTTTTCGTGACTTATAGCCCTGGATTCAAAGTTAAGGTTCGTATTCTTGTTTTTTGGGCATTCTTGATACAGGCATAATCAGGACCAATAATGGCCATGGATGAGTTCAGGGGAGAGAGACGAGTGCATTGGCACTCTTAGCTTGCATTTACATGGCCTAGGAAGGATTTTTGAGAGATGCTACGAATCTTCCTGCGGAACAAAATCCGCAGGTAAATGAACCAAGGCGTTTGAAGAAGACGAAGACGTGGTTGGGCGTGATTGGTTCATTTGAATCAATTGCACGTTTTTTTTATTTTGCCAGGCATAATTAGTTGTTTACCATATAATATTTGTTATATATTCCACTAACAAGTTAACAACATGGCTCAGCTGGCAAGGCGTTAGTGTGTGATACCATTGGGACCTGGGTTCGAATCCCAGGTCCCCTAAAATTTTATTTGCAATTTTATTTCAGGCAATTCTATGCAGCATGCCAAGCGTGGATCACCATGATCTTCATCCCATCAAATGCCAAGTGGCCTGCAGACCAAATCCAATGGCCAAAATTGGATGCTCACCATACTCCCCAGTCAAGGCATACGCGTGGAATAATGAAAGTCAAAGCAGGCTGGAATACGTTTGGGCCAAGGAAATGTTGACCAAACCTCCTGATTTGGGGCCCAAACCCCCTTTGGTTTATTTATTTTCTTTTCTATATTTCTCTTATTTAATTTGTTTTATTATTTTTATTGTTAATTAACCAATTAATAATTTTTCTCATAAAATCAGAAAACAAAAATAATATTTTAATTTCACTATTTTATTATTTTTGTAAATAAACATTAATTATTTTATTTAGTTTAATTAGGTACAATTTTAATATCTTTTGCATTAAATTAAATTCAATTTAGAATTAGGATTTTTATTAACTTTTTAATCACTCTTATTTTATTTCTTTAAATAAATAAAAACCCAAAAATATTTTCCATTTTATTAATTAATTAAATTATTAATTTAAATTAATTTCCAATTCAAAAAATAACAAAATATGCTTTATTTATTTTAAAGGGTCAAAACCCTAAAAACACTTCGATGTAATTTTCTCGCGCGCGAATAACTTTTGATCCATATTTCTATATTGTAACTGCTCCGAGATTGTAATAGTTTTTAAATTTATTTATTTATCGCTTTTATTTACTTTTCGCAATTTAATTTTTAAGGGTTTGTCTTTGGCGATGTAAATACCCGACGCCTTGTAATAGCTTAGATTTATTTTCCGCAATTTAATTTCCGCAACCATTAACTGTTAGATGTTTGAATAATAGGCAATGCATGACAAGATCAATTTTAATTTAAAATCAACAGTAGCTCACCATTAACATGTACAAATATAATATAACTGAAAAACGATACACTCGCACATGCCACTCTTAGGGTACACCTCACTTGATTGCCTCGAACGTGGTCCTTGAGAATAGGAAGTTTTAGAGGTCGCCCTCTTGTCCAAAGATCAAAGTTTCCTCGAATCGGTTGCCTCGGATAAAATGATCTAAGACATTAGGGTTACCGCTAAGGCGTCCTAACATTGCTTTAGTGACCACACATCCCTTAATCAAATTGACCCGAAAACTCCAACGACGGTGCTACCTACTCCTCAATAGTGGGATAGCACTGTCTAAAGGACATTTGCACAGTCTAATTCCTTTTTGAGTAGGTAGATGGTTCTTAAGTACTTGCTCCTTTTAAAACAAAAACAAAACTTTTTCGCACTTACACCCCTTTCAAACAAAAAACTCTTTCAAACCCACAAACACAAAGAAAAGCAAACTTTTGAAAACATTTTGAGCAAGTACCTAAGAGCCCGTGGATAACCACAGATAGAAACGGTGCTAACACCTTCCCTTTCTATAATCTACCTCCCGAACCCGAGAAACATCTCAAAAAGGAATTTTTCTGTGCTTTTTTCCTTTCCTTGTTGGATAAAATAAAAGACGGTGGCGACTCTTGCCTACCGCGACATTCTGCGAAAACAAACGCAAACGCGAACCAGCATTCCAAAAAACAGTCAATTCTCATTCCCACTGATCACAGAACTGGCGACTCTGCTGT